TACTTTTACAAGGTAATAACTGTGTTTGCAAAGGCATTTGGTACGCATAAAGTGGGTTTATATCCTTTGTGGCTATTGAAGAATATAAATGAAAGTTCTTGTGCCCGGAGTTCCGCTTTAGCTTTAATGAATGGAATGTTATTTCATTCTCAGTAATGCGGTTCCATCTGTCAGCTGTTATAATGTTTTAAATTGGGATAACTGGAATGGTTAGACCATGAGAACATAAATACACATACCGGATAAATGAAGGTTTTGAATGTCTTGTAGAAGACGGACCTCTCTGAATACAGTAGGAATGTGGAGCAGATAAGGTTGTGTACGTGTCCTGGTAAAGATTACGATCTGGCACAGAAGCAAAGCCCAAGCTGGGTCCCACCCGTGTAATTATACTTTGGGAGTATATCTCTGTGTGGTCACCGACCTGCCCTGCATTGTGCGTTTCATCCCAGCCCCTGTATTCATCTACATGAGGGTTTTTATATCTATATAGCAGTGGGTGGGCAATCTCAGCACTCCAGCTGTGGTGGAACTACAAGTCCCATGATGCACTGCGAGGTTACAGTAAGCATACTCTGTCCTCATGTTATGAATGGACAGGAACACTCAGCACTCAGTATAGAGGATTCCTGATCATTGATAACAGGGGATGCACAATAGGAGATTGAGGACTCTGTGTTCTCAATTAGAGCTGCAGCTAACGATTATTTTCAAAATCGATTAGTTAGCCGATTATTAAGTTCGATTAATCGGATAAACAATAAAAAAATAAAAAATGGCTCCAGTGATGGGACTACTAGTTTGTATTGAGATTGTAGTCCATCACAGGAGCAAGCTTGGAGCGGTGGAAAAAAATAGTGTGGTGTGCAATATAGTGAAAAGGAAAGTGTAAAATTTATACAGCAATGAATGCAGAATTGCACCTGCTATAGAGGACTACAAATCCCAGCAATAGTACATTATACAGCGCAATGCAGAATATCACCAGCTATAGAGGACTACAACAAATCCCAGCAATAGTACATTATAGCTGGTGGTATTCTGCATTGCGCTGTATAATGTACTATTGCTGGGATTTGTAGTCCTCTATACAGTGCAGTGCAGAATATCACCAGCTATATAGGAATACAACAAATCCCAGCAATACATTATACATACAGTGTATAATGTATTGCTGGATGTGTATTCCTATGTATAATATACAGCA